ATTTCTGTTAAGCTGAAGTCAATGCTTGTGACTACCATTATTTGTGTGTTAAACAGATCCACATAAGCACTAGCTTTCAACCACACTCACCATCACTGCCTGAAGAATGTGATGTAGATGGCCCAGGCATTGTTTCATTCACTTCTTCTGTGGGATGAGGTCCTGTACTACTGAGATAATATTTATTACACTTGCTTTAGACAAAGAAAACCGTGTTGATAAAATTATTATATAAGGTAAATACCTACATTTCTCCACAAGAAGAAGCATGTACTTCTATGTCCTCAGTAGGAAACATTTTTGCACACACCGGACACTCTTGCATTGCTGCTGTCACAAAGTAATTGGGACATTGTTGTAGTGAAGCAGACATCTAAAATGGCACTGTATGATATGCAAACATTTAAACATTTCTTACATATGTCCTTTGCAGGGTTACAAACATCAACACCAGCCACATCAGAGGGCAAGTCTGTTTCCACACAAGACTTTATGTGGTCAGTCAAAAAATGCAAGGGAACATCTACTCTGCATTTCTGACACATGGCCTTTGGCATGTTTGCAAATGCCTCGTCATTCAGCTCAAGAGGATCCGTGCAAAGTTGTTCCTGAATAGGGACTATGAACAGGGTTTTCCCGCCGCGACTCGCACCCTTCAACATTATCCCGGTATAGCCATCATCTTCAGGACCTATCAAGGTCAAATTACGTCTTCCCCATCCACCTACAAGAAACTGTGCATTATGACTTTGCTTCAAATCAAAGCACAATATCAATTTACTTGACAACCGCATTCAGAACATTTGCTGATGAAAAAGGTATTCCTATAATTACAAACATTTAATTTTCAATGTTCCATGTTTGTAGAGTAAATATATCATCTGCCCACTTGCTCTTTCATGGTTGCCTTTCTTAATGAGCTGTTCTACTGCAGCAGAGAGTCTATAGATGGCATGTAAAAGAGTCGCCTTTTAGTCCAACGTTGTGTGCATACGCGAAATTTAAGGATATATGCAATAACATACAGGGGATCCGTAGATATGGGTTAAATACAGCCATTGATGGGACCAGGAGAGCATTTTGGATGGGGTGAGGGACCCTCGGATTGTTGCTCTGAGACAAAAAGTGGTGTAGCTCTATTTGAACAGCAGAATTTGTCTGCCAGTTGTATTTTTCTTTAGAAGAAATAAATATTTTAAAATCTCACACTAACAAAAATAATGAAAAGAACATTTATAATAATATTACCGTAACCTGATATCAGCCACTTCATCACCCACCTGCAGATTTGTAAAGCAGCCAACCCCCTGTAATAGTTCCCAGCTTTGGAAAAAGAACTTTAAGCGTTTCACCCAGCTGTAAAAGAAATATGTCAAATTAAGACTCATCAAAAATGTAAATATACAGTGATAGTTCCTAATACAATATTAATACATGCAATGACAGCCCACTTCATCAGATCAACTTGAAGTGTTCAAATGTGCAAAATGACATAGCCAATTAGAGAGCAGCATTATTGGAGAATAAATATTATTGAGGTGAATTTAATGGTTCCTGCATTCAAA